ATGTTCAGCCGTTTATTGCAAGGTAACATAATCCCCATCCAATGTGCATCATTGTTTCCAGTTGAAATTATGAGAATATTATTTTGGGGAAAAACACCTCTAATGTGAATGGAATATTCAGTGTGATCAAACAAACAAACTGTCAAACTTATGGACTTTCTTCCATTAAAACCTGGACGCCTAAATCTCTATCTTTGTACATGAACTTTATGTGGAATTGAGGACTCATAACTTTAGTGGAATATGCTGCTTTAGCCATTTCTTCCCATTGTTGGGAATTAGACCTTGCCCATCTCCATGATGTGATGAAAGTAATAATCATGCAGCTCTGTCATAGGTCTTCATTTCATATAAAGACTAGGATCATAATTTTAAAAGTATTAATTTTGGCCTCAGGAAATGTGGCAATGAAGTGGTGGCATCTCCAAAATGGGGATTGTGAAAATCTTTGGCCCATAAAAAAATTACAGGCTCAGGGTTGCAAAACACAATATGTTAACCCTCCTAGTGAATTAACAAGACTGTGTTTTTGAATCCATCTTTAAAATGGGGATGGACATCCTGTGGAAGTCCATTGCAGTGTAAATTCTTGGACTTTTCCTTTGTTCTCTGTGAGCAGCTGTCATTCTTGCTCTGAGCCAACATCATTTAGGGGTAGAGGTGTGCAAAACAGATTGAATTCAAAAGATCTGATCTCAGAATACCCCTCTTTTGATGTAGGAACAGATCGTTGGTTTGGCCTTGCAGGAACTCTTTTGCTGCTGTCATCAAAAGTATTCTGAGTTCAAAACAAAGTACTTCAAGCACAAAACAACTGCAATTTTTAGAAAGTCTCACTTCCAGGCAATAAAAGTATCAGTTCTTTTAAAAAACAAAACATATGATTCATGACAACTAGAGATTTACTAATATAAAATTGTTTCACAGGAACTTGTGTGGTGGACCTTAGCAGACAGCTTGTTTGCCTCCTACAGGATGGTGAATCTTATTTTTTGATATTTCCAAACTTCAACACATCTTCAGTATTCAAAAACAGAAATTATTCATGAAGTAAATAATCCATAGTGCATACTGATACAGTGACTTAGATTTTAACTTGCATTAATGGACTAATCATAAGTAAGTTAGTATGTTCAGCCAAGCACTAAGGATGACTGGGCTATCAAGACAGATACATTCTGAGCAGATGGTAGGAAGTAATCTTAAAACTGGTAAACAAGCAACAAAGAGTTTGTTGCATGCCCAGAAGTCTATAGGAGTTGACAGCATAGCAGCAAATCCTTGGCACTGAGGCCCCTAGGAACCAGCTCTCTGCCCTATACGTTCTCAGTTCACATGCAAATGTGGGAAGAAGTCAACGGGGGGGGGGAAAAAAAAAGAGAATAATTCAGCAGAATTGTAAGAACAAAGATAGAAGAGTTTACAGGAAAAATAAATGTTAAACTAGATATATAAAGTTGATGATATGTAATCACAAAACCTTGCTCACAGAATCTTAAAAGTACATAGGAAAAATTGGTATTCTTAATGGGGTTTTTTCCCCCCCAGAATGTTCTTGTATCCAAAGTTGTTGTAATTATATATAGTCATAATAGAGACATGAAAAGGAAAGACTGGAATGCTATTGCTGACTTTGAGGGATTTGAAAGATACCACATGGGTCAAAATTTCTGCAGTTTAGAATCAGTTAGAGGTACTTCTACATGTACCAAGTGGCTATGAATCGATGTGATTGTCCTAAGCTTTTCATCACAAAAATGCCACAAAGCTCCTTGCATTTAGTGCAAAAAGCATGTGAAAATTTAATAAAAATGATTAACTTTAAGTAACATTCACTGTAGCAGAATGGATTAAAGAAACCCCACCAAACTCTGCTGTTAGTCAGAAGAGCCAAATGAAAGAAATAACTTACTACTGCTTTTATTGTTGTAAACTAAATTCACTTAACATATAGTTAGGCTATGTTGCATAAATGAACATCAATGTGTATACATAGCTCATAGCATGGTGTCAACTTTCAATCACAAATAATACAAACAAGCATGGCCACCACCGAAATCCATAGTCAATATTTGCCAAATGAGCTTTGCTGGAAGAGGCCTTCTACATCATCTACATTTTAGTTCAGTACACACCAGGATATTGGAATAGAAGCAGAGCCAGAACTAATTAAAAGCAGTGGACTGGGATTTGAAAGCAGTAAATCATGTTCTGCAAATGATATGGCCAGAAGGAATTCATTCTGAAAATTTGGAAGAATAAGTCAATAGGAATACAAAGTTTAGAACAAAATCATTATATGCACTGTGCTATACTTTGGATGAATAATGAACATTTTCAAATAAACAGCATAAAGAAATCTCTGGAATATTTATTTCACAATGAAAAACTAAAAAAAAATGCTTAGATTTACTTTTTACAAATTCTGCATTGCTAACTGTAATGCATGGACTAGTCCTGTTACATAATGTCCCCCCCTCCATATTTAATGATGTATATAGCTTAGTAAATTGAAATTATGTATTAATAAATTAAATTTGAAAAGGAAGAGATTAAATAATATAATCTGATGATTTGTAAACCACAGAGAACCTTCTGATTATGGTGAATAGAAATGAAATAAATAAATAAATAGCCCTTGATCATGACTATGCATAGCATTAGCACTAGCACTTAGACTTATATACTGCTTCACAGTGCTTTACAAGTTTATAGAGTCAGCATATTGCTCCCCAACAATCTAAGTCCTCATTTTACTGACCTCGGAAGGATGGAAGACTGAGTCAATCTTGAGCCAGTCAGGATCGAACTGCTGGCAGTCAGCAGAATTAACCTGCAGTACTGCATTCTAACCATTGCACCACCACGGCTCTAAATAACATTATCATTCTTATCCTTGCATCAGAGTGCAACACAGGCCTCATTTGTCCTAAGAGGATTCCTGCTTGTCTATAAGCTTCTGTTTCTGTACTGTATGCATAATAGACTCCTTTCTAGAGATCTTTGCATGCTGCATTCAGACTTCTGGGACAGGAACATCACATGTGCAATATTGGTACTCAGGTCCATCTAGTGAATTCCTATCCCTGCTTACATTTTGACTTTCCACCCTTATGGTAACCCTTGACTCAAAATGTTGAATAATCATATGGACCTTCCAAGAAATGTTGGGGTCCTAGAAGATGACTTACCATCAAGCCTTTCATGTAGGGACTGCAAAACTCAGCACAACCTTTAGGAAATGCTCTTTGTTGCCATTTAGAGATTGTTCAGATTTTTGCAGCTCAGATATGGTAGAGTTGATTGGGTGCAAACAATGCCAAACTGTCTGAAGCGCATTGGTCTTTTAAAGATTAAGTAAAGTAGGAGAAGTTGTGTTACTGAAAAAGTGAAATTGGGAATATGCCTCTCTGAGGTAAGCTTTCAGAAGAGTTCCAATTTTCAAGAGTAAGCTTCTCCCATCATTAGTCCTTTCCTCTCTCTCCTTTCCTTTCCCTCTCAATTTATAATCTCCTTTATTTGGAACTGAGCTGTTTCCATTTTGCCTAAAACTCCTCCAGCTATGAATACACATCAGGTCTTGGGCAGCATCACTCAATTCTCCAAAGCCAACCTGCAATTTAAAAAAAAAAATGTGTCCCATCCCACATTGATCTCTTTCAGGGTGCACATTGGTGTGGATTTTAAACATCATGAGAAAGAAACAATGCTGAATCCCCCCTCCCCCCAAAACCCCCTATTTTGCTAACATAGCATTGGAAGAAGCCAACTTTCTGCTGAAGCTCTGAACAGCAGGAGCAGAAGAGATCCAATTGGCAACTCTTCTGTTTTTCCTAAAATGCCACTGGGGAGCCATGGTTCATCAGCTGAAATAGACAAACATAAAAAAAACAAAAAACAAGAACGACAGGGGAAAACAAAAGGTTCTGCTAGAGACAAGCTCGCCTACTCAAAATGTAGGTAGTTTTTAATTGCTGCTCTAAGTTGGCATAGTCGATTGGACCATTTCCACTTACCCCTCTGTCTGAAAGGAAGCCAAATATTGTCTCTGGAGAACTTTTTTCTTTGTTTAGCTTAGTTTTGCAAAAAGTCTTGCGTTTGTTGTTCTTAAACATATATCCGCATAAAGCCACTTGAGACAACCTAACCTTGAACTTATCCATATTGTTTTTATATTTCAGTTTATATGTCTGGGTGCAAGACTAAAAAAAAATATACCGTATGTCTGATAAAGATCCGGGTGGATCTACATGTTTATCAATTGCTTTTCAATGGCAAACACACTTTTCAAGGCTGGTCTCCTAGGCAACCTCTTCTTGGCTCTCTTAGGATGTGACATTTGCAGCTGTGTTGTTCTTCCATCACAACACTTGAAATTGGGGATCCAGCAAGAGACAGAGGAAAATTTCTTTCAGGGAGGTAAAGCAACCACAGAGTTTTATGCTGTTGCCTTCCTCCGAAAAAGTTTCTATTGCTGCTGTAAACTTTTTGAAAAGCCAGTTAGAAGTTTCAACAAACCATTAGGGCAGTCCTAATTTCATCTTGTGATGTCTTTTGGTAGGAAGCAAAAGATTCACAACTCCAGCACCTTTGCAACCATGCATACTTCAGTTTCTACTGTGCCTGACCTTTACAGAAAATGGATAAGAGGAAATTTTTCATCTGCAAAAAAAGAATCTGATTTAGGTCTTGGCATGCTAGACCAAAGTTGACCAAAAATGGTCTAACTATATAAGAAGAGAGTTATGCAGTGCCAGGATGTTCTAAACTTTACCCATATCACCCTTTTATTGGTACCTCTCCATTCATGGACTTCTTAGATGTAACCATTGGGGGGAGGCGGGTGGCAACAGTACTGAAATGATTTGCCATTGACTGTTCTGGGATTTTTTTTTTTTATTTACCTCTCACTGAAGCCTGCAGACTTAGGATTTCCTGGTGGAACATTAGTCTTATTCGAGTATTAATTAAATCTTTTCCTGCTTTGCTTTTCCATATAGACATCTGCCATCTAGCTGAAGAATAGAACCAATGGAAGAAGGCAGAAGTCCCTTTGAGTTCACATCTTCTGAGAAATAATCTCCAAAGGAGAAGCGTTTAGAGCTAAATTGTCCTTGTTTCCTGTTGTAATTGTAATTGTTGTTGTCAGCCCTCTATCAGTTTTGATATAAGAAGAGCCAACCCATTAAAGAAAAGATGGATTTCTAACCTCATGTTCAATTTGACTTACAGATACATGAAATAATTTGCATAAGATATTTCCATTAATTAAAGATGCTATTTCCAATTACTCTCTTAACCTATCTCTCCTAAATACCTCTTTTCTCTCTCTGAAAAAGAAAAGCCTATGCCAGTGTTCCCCAAACTTGACAATTTTAAGGCATGAGGACTTCAACTCCCAGAATTCCACAGCCAGCAATGCTGGCTGTGGAATTCTGGGAGTTGAAGTCCACATGCCTTAAAATTGTCAAGTTTGGGAAACACTGGCCTATGCAATTGTTTTATACCCTTGGAGATAATAAACATGAAATTTAACTGCACCTATTTTCACTACAAAATAGGACATATTCTATGCTGATTTAATATTATCCTATTAAAATCTTTTCCTTCCCAATCATTTGTTTTATTTCTGTGTTATATAATGATTATTTCTATCAGCATTATATATTTTGAATTACATAGATTATGAAAATGCACTTAAAACATGTTCACCTTCTTTCTTTCAGCCTATGTTTTAAATATTTCTGCCCCTAGTTCCTTGCTAACCACCTATTAATTTTGAAATTAAATTGTTCACTGGGCTCTCATTCTCCACAAGAATTAGGCACCTGAGGTGGGTTTGGCTGGTATTTTATTCAGTGTTTAAGTTCATGCTGTTATAATGATTACATATTTAATCACTGTGGCTTTCTTTCTTGATGTGCAAAGATTATTATAACTTTCATCTTATAGAATTAAATTTTACTTCAACAGGCTCTCTCATTTCCTGGCCATATTTTATGAAGAGAGAGAAAGAGGAAATAGCTTTAATCACACAAAATGCTTCAAAGACTGGGAAATGTCATACATTTTAAACAGTTGCCACTGAATTTTTACAGTCCAACATTTTTAGAAAATTGAGACTGATGAGACCACTGAACTCATTTTTGGGGGGGCGGATGGGGGGGTCATGAAAGTGTGATGGTTGAAGGATTAGCAACACGGGAAGGAAAAGTGTGGATTTTATAGGGCTGTTCACTTACTGTAGTTTGCGGGTGGTGGCTAGGAGAGAATTTATCAGGCTGTTAGCTATGGTTTTTGTTTTGCTTTGTCAACTTTTGGCCAAAAATAAGGAAGCAAAATAGTTTGCTTCATTTCTGAAAAAAACAAACAAACCTGTGAACAGTAAGAAGATGTTTTTCTTAGGCTGACCACCCACCCCTCCATGATTTCATTGATTAGCATACCTTAGAGAAAGCTTACGCATAAATCCCACTTGCAGCTTATGACAGCCAGCTTGGATTTAAAGCCTGAGCCCGTGTTTGTCACAGAGAGTAATTGAAAGCTCCAGATTCTCAGCTTTCAGCTTTGCTGCTGATGGATTCAGCAGTATTTATAACATAATGTAGAACTTATAATACTTTCTTCTTTTATTCTTGCTAAGTTTCTAACAACCTGTTTCAGATTTCAGAAAAAGTATAGTTTTATCTCTTTATATGCATAGGTAAAGGTTCTGGATATGGGTTAACTAAGACTATAATGGATAATATAGGTAATCTTACATATAAGATTATGGGGAGGGGATGATGGGTACATCTGGGATTTTAGACAGTCTCCTTTCCCCTCCAACAATGGATTAATGTTGAGTTAGTTCCATTATTTCTCTAAGTGGACTATTAAGATGGAGTGCCTAGAAAGGTTGTTGAATCTAGTTGGATTCCAAATACTTGGAAAGAAGTGGGTATAGGTCCCCCATTTATTCTGTGTTTAGGATATATAGCTCATTAGAGCCATTGTCACCCTCTTTGACCTGCCTTAAAGATTGGACCGTAGTGTACAAGTGAACTACTGGAGCTGAAGTGGCAAAGCACAGGTTGAAGAATACCCAACTCAAAACTGATAATGCATAGTAGAAAGAACATTTAAAGAAAAACAGTTAATCTGTAAACTCATGTCCCGATTACTTATTTTGGGTTGTAAGAGGGCTGACGTGTATTCCTACTTTTTCTCCAAGAGTTACTGTATATTACAGAATCTAATAATAATAATCAATATGCCTCTGTTGAAAAGTTTCATTGTGGTTTTTTTTAGGTGATTGCTGATATTTGAGATGGGCTCAATTCAACTTTTAATGTTCCAAGAACTATGGAACTGCCAGGTAACTTTTCTGATACATTTTGATTTGTGATAAATAAGGATGTAGACAATTATTGAAGTGATATGTTTCACCACTTGTCCCGTCCATTCTTTCTGAATTTGGCTTGTAACCTCTAACTGGAAGAGAATTAGAGATGTCTTTAGTAAAACCATAAACACCTCTTTGAGGGAAATCAAGATGCTGCTGCAATTAGAGTCTCTAATCTGGAAAACTCAATTGCCCTGAGTACTAAGAAACAATATTATGCTGTGCTTAAAGCACAATAGTTCACTTGCAGGTAAAATAGAAGTACTGGTCTTTATTTTTATAGACCTACATGAGTTAGGTCAATGTTTCTCAAACTTGTCAACTTTAAGATGTGTGGACTTCAACTCCCAGAATTCCCCAGCCAGCACGTTTAAGGTTGAAGTCCACAGTCTGAAAGTTGGCAAGGTTGGGAAACACTGGGTTAAGATAGAAGCTGTTTGATCTCTGTCTATATGAACTTCCATGCTATCAAGATCATTTGAGAAGGTTTCACTTGCAATTAGTTCACCTATATTTTATTTAATGTTGCTCTTACCAATTTGTTTATTTGCTGAAAATTTTGATAACTGGTGGTATACCAAATCAAATAAGTTCGTAAAAATAATTTTGACAGGCAGCTAGGAGACTGTATACCTACTTAACTCTGTGTCAGAATAAGAGAACGAAGAATGAAATACCTGTTCCTTTTCCCACTTGAAAGGAAAATTGGATGTTGATAGGAAATTCTAAAAGGGCTTAATGTATATAATAACTATCCAAAAAGAAAAGAACAGAAACAGTTCTATAAACAGACAAAATAAAATCCATTTGCAGAAAAAGGCTAGTCAGGCTCTTATGAAACAAGCATGAAGAATAGCCTCAGGGATCTTATTCTGCCTGTATGTAGATTTCCATTTAGAAAGAAGCAACTTGCAGGTAAATATCCATGAAGGAAGTTGAAATAGCATCAGCAGGTGCCAAATGATGGTGGCTAGAAGCCAGGAGATCATGAGTTCCAGTCAAAGTGACTGGGTGACTTTGAACCAGCCCTTCTCTCTCAGCTGTAGGCAGCATCTCTGAAAATCTTGCCAAGAAAACAGCAAGGACTTCTCCAGGCAATCAACTCTGACTTGAAGGAGAAAACCCCCCACAGAAAATGAAAAATGGTTAAATCAAATAATGGTAAGGAACGGGTGCTGGAATTGGATATGTCTAGTTTAACAAAGAGAAGGATGAGGGGGGACATGATAGCAGTATTCCAATATCTCAGGGGCTGTCACAAAGAAGAGGGAGTCAAGCTATTTTCCAAAGCACCTGAAGGCAGGACAAGAAGCAACGGGTGGAAACTAATCAAGGAGAGAAGCAACCTAGAACTAAGGAGAAATTTCCTGACAGTTAGAACAATTATTCAGTGGAACAACCTGCCTTCTAAAGTTGTGAATGTTCCAACACTGGAAGTTTTAAAGAAGAAATTGGATAACCATTAATCAGAAATGGTATAGTGTTTCCTGCCTGAGCAGGGGGTTGGACTAGATCAGTGGTTCTTAAACTTTTTGAAAGAATCGCCCCCTTGAGCCAATGAGAAAGTTGTCATTGCCCCCCTCCCCCAACATAACCTCTTAATCACAACATAGGAAATAATTCTTCAATTTATCCAAACACTTTTTTATTTTCTTTAAAATTGTCATCAGGACATATCGATGCAAATAATTTATTTCCAGTCTTTTCCCCATATCTCAACTGTTTGAAAAATTTTGGTGCCACCCGTCACTTTATTCCCAAACTTCATGATACATGTATTTCATTATTATCTTATTTATTCAGGACACTTAAATGTAATGACCACTGAAAACAAAATTCAATTGCAAGAAAGTGAAATGCCCGAAAAGAAAAACAGTAACATTTAATGATTGAATTACAAGTGAAATTTAAGATGCAAAAAGAAATATAAAAAGGGTAGAGGCTGCTGCGCAATGCACATGAAGGTAAGCAATGCGTATTCACGTATGTATGGCGTTCTGTACTGAAGCTAACTGGAAGACCATTTGAAAACACAATTCAATCCACTAATAGTGAGCGATCTGATGTTTTTGTATGACAGATATGCAGCGATTCACTGTATGAAAAAGTCTCAAAAGTGTCCCCAAAACTTCTCACTCCATCGCCCCCATATCACCCACTTTTTGTTCCTTCGCCCCCACATCGCCCTTTTTTGTTCCATCGCCCCCCTGAAAAACGAAATCGCTCCCTGGGGGGCAATATCATCCAGGTTAAGAACCACTGGACTAGATGACCTCCAAGGTCCTTTCCAACTTTACTACTACTATTATTATTAAGATCCCAAGCTTTGAGCTCTGGATCTGGAGTTCTGTGCTTGTGTTATGTATTGGGGTTTGTTGTTGTTGTTATTGTTTCTTCTTAACATTGCCTTTTGATAACTGAGATGAGAAAAAAATCCAAATTCATAGTAAATGTATTTGGTCCTTACTTCACAATTCCCTGCTTCCTCCTCCTAATAAAATCACTGCTGGAAATTCTTTCCCTGGGCACGGTAATGTTCACAATCCATAATGAACAACGCTTCAGTATTCAATATGTTCATTGCAATGTGAAAGAGAAACACAAAAATGAACTAATAGTTTTATTCAAAGAGTAGGTCAGGCATGGGGTGAGAAGAGAAGCACTGAAGCTTCAATAGAAACATTTAGAGCAGTACCAGCCATTGCAGTTAGCTGTTATGTAAGCTCTGTTGAAACCAATAATATAACCATACTTTGCCTTGTCTTCTTTGCTTTCAGTAGAACTTTTTATTTCACTTTGACTGGAGCTAAAATGTCCCCATATTTCTTCTGGTGAAAAGAGAAATCTGTCAAGGACTTGCCATAGATTTGTTGAGGGGTGGGGGAGATAGAAGGAGAAGAGTATTATATAATTGAATTAGTGTTCGAATGAAACTATTCATTACCTTTAGCTCTAACTAGTGGTAAGACCCTATTCCAGGACTTGAGCATAGAAAGAAAACTTTCAGAATTTCCATTTCATTTCTTGCTTCATTAATTCCATTAACTTACAAATTGATGAATTCATAGAATTAAAAAGTCATTTGCTTTTTATATTTTGTGGAATCACTTTTACCAAGTCTCCAAACCTTTTAATCTGTACTCCTAAATTCCAGCTATAATTGTTTTCATCAACGACATAATTGAACTTGTATGTATAGCATATCAATAGGGTTTGGTTTTCAGGAGCCAGATACCACAGTACTTATTTGTCAACAGCAAAGGCAATCATTTCTCAAATGTTCTGTACATCATTTGGGTAAAAAGATCAGTGATTCAGATATAGTTTGAATAACCTGCTATAGGAGAAACATAAACAAGAAGAATGTATGATGATGTATCTAATGTTCCTGACATTCTTCTCCTTCTGCCCCTACAAACAGAGTTGGTTTATTTTGTTCTTGCTCATATCTCAGAAGGTGGTAGAATTCAAGGTCAACTTTCCTTCCGCAGGCCAAATAATAACAGAATCATTCATCCTGACAAAGCCACAATTTCTGAATACCTCTGATGGGTTTCCATCTTAAGAGGTCAGCTGAGTGCTGAAATGAATAGAAAAAGAATCAGAAATTCTTGACAAGGTCAAGGTTTCTGTCCCTTCACAATGCACATAGGAGACTAAATTTATAAATATTCTTCAAACACCTTTTTTTTGTTATAAAGTCTGAGTCTGACATTTAAATTCATTTTCAGGCTGGAATGAAGCACCCATTTGTGTCCTTTTCAGAACTGTGCCAACTGGCACCTCCTTGAGATGTACAACAAAATGACTTGACAGGAAAAGACAAGCTACGTTTTGAATTAGTTTTAACCATAGAAGGTGAGTTCTATATTGATTTTTATTCCTCAACTATATAACACCTGTGGGTTGTGCTGTACAGATGTCAATCATTATTACAATACATAATGAGTTTTTTTCATTTATCCATCTTTAGTATGCCTGAGAAGCTTCTAAAGGGCCCTAATATTAAACTAATTAAATATTTTCTGGCAAATTACTCAATATAGAAACATTTGACTTTCTTATATTATTATGCAAAGTCACAACTCTTGTTTACTTTATTTATTTATAGGACTTGTATGCCTCTCTCATATAATAAGTCTAGACAACTTATAAAGAATTGCACTTGCTTATTATACTTAAAAGTCCTGGTTGTGCCATGTATACTGCCACATACTACTGTGATTTTAACAAGTAACTCAAGCCTTGCTTTGTTTGTATTCTAGATTTTCTAAATCCATTCTTTGTGGTGAATGAAATAACACTTGCATAAGCAAACATAATGGTAAATGAAGATGGACACCCAAGTAGCACTAACTCTCAGTCATTGTTCTGTTTTTAGTGGCTTATGATAGTTAAAAAAGAATCTCATGTCCTACTAAAAGTGACAGGAAGATACCCCCATAATTGTTTTTATAGATTCTGTTTTCATGATGTCATCTCCACTCCACAACAGTGGTAACAATTTTCCAATCTACTGTTCCAATTTTGCCTTTTCTCCCAGTGTATGTCTTGTAGTACAAATGACTAATGATGTCTCCACAACGATGTTAGTGATGAAGCTCTTCCATGGGATTGGAGAACTGGTGGCTAAGAAGCCACTTCACGCCCTGTTCCTCTTGACAACTATGGAATGGTTGTATTTTGCCAACAAGTCTGATTACACTGAGCTGATCCGTGGCAGATACCTGGCAGGGAAACCTGAGTTCTTTACATTAGCACCTATCAGCCTGTCACTGCTTCATCATGCAGATTTCTCCACCCCACTGACATGTCAGCTGGGTTATTTTTTGACGCAGAATATTAATCTTCCCTGGATGACTGGTGGATTATATAGTAAGGAAGCAGTGTGAAGCCAGAGGTAAACATCTTCTGATCCATGGAGTGAGAATGAGTATATTATGTCTATTGAAGAAAGTGACCCTGAGCAGAATATACCAGCCCTTTATTAAAAAAAAAAGGCACATCTACGTTTTTGGAATAACACTGTTCATTTGTCAAAAAAAGTTGGCTGATAGGTCAGTGGGGTGTAGCAGGGAACATGATGAAGGAAGAGGTGGTCTCTCCAGAGGACCAGTGCACTGATGTTAAGAAATAGCCCAGGTGTAAAGTCATCAGTGCAGGGTATTCCATGCTTAAGACCAATCACTTGGGCTACTTAAAAATAGCCATAACCTTTATCCCAAACCTTTGCCCACACTTGTCTGTGCATATCTGACTCCACAATAAGGAGAATAATTACTGTTATTTTTCCACTAGACGTTGATGTTGGAAGAGAACCTATCAATAATATTAATGCCATACATGAGAGAAAATTGCCCCACATTAATACTGTGTGGACAGTAGCAATTGTTGGCCTTGTTTTGAAAAAGAGAAGGTTTGGAAATGAGGTCACAGCAAAATATGTCACCATGTTTTTGTGTCATTTCAGAGACTGTAGGGCAGGCATGTCAAACTGCCAGCCCACGGGCCAGATGCATCATGTCCACCCCATTGCTGGCAATGGGGGGAAAGTCGCAATATGTCATGTGATGTTGCTAGTTTGACATGCCTGCTGTAGGGAATAAACCTTTCTATGGCCATGAGAACATGCTCTTAGAAAAAGTAAGTTCAGATGTGGCAGAAAGTATTTCACCAAACAAAGGCACATTTTTCTGTAGAGTTGGCAATGTTTTCTGTCATAGGGTGGGAATGGTCAGAAGAAGCCAGTGTGTAGTAGAAACTAAGAAATATTGTGTCCACAATCTTTCCACCAAGCGTTACAAGAAGTGCCATCAGAAGAAAATGGAAATTGTTCTGCATTACTGTACTCCAAGGGTGACTTTTTCCCTTAGGAGTTCTCTTGCTGCCACTTTTTATGATTCTGTCTTCTACAGTATATTCCCCAGGCTGCTTTAGCTATAACAGAAGAAAAAATCCTGCCTGCCTGCCTAAATAGCTCTGGGAGATACAAAAAAAACAGGTAGGTATAGACATGAAAGGATGGAAGTCCTCTGCTTCAATTCCTTCCATTTATTTGTCCCATTTTGCGTACTTTTTCTCTGTTTGCGTTAAACTGCTCCTACCATGTAATTTTTTGCTGTCATTTTACTTTTTGATGGTATAAAACCTACCTCGATGGAAATATTCATCCACTGCATTTTATCTGAATGTTGAAATTATGATGATAGCCAGTTTGATTGTGATGCCCAAAGGCAGAATATAAATATTTTAAAGTTGACGATTGATTGCAGGCAAACTTCATCAGTCTGTAATTGTAAGGCTGTAAGAAAGTACTGGGGAAACAGAAAAGAATCAATCAGAAGCAAGAGGACCAAACAGCCTCCTTCATTTTTGCTCCCATTCTCTGCTTTCTGTTGTTTCCTGTGACTTGGAAGAAGAGGAGCAGTTGATACATGAGTTTGCAGTTAGGTAATGGACTAGTTGCTGATTGATTATTGTTATTTCCATACTTTCTAGGTGGAAAACATGCAGTACCATTAGCAAGCTATTTCAACTGTTGCAAAGTGCTGTATCTCATTTCTCCAATATTGGAAGGAGGATAAGCAAACAGGAAGGAATGGTCTGATAATTTGCTATGAGGATTCTTTGAAGTAGATGTGATGGAGGCCTGCAGCAAATTTGGTCCCGGGCCAGAGGGATGCCAACACTAGATTTTGATTCTGCCATGTGATTTGTGGATAGACAGCAGGCAGCTAACTAACTAGTCAGATATTTCTGTGAAAGTCCTATAAATATGGCAAAGTAACAGCTGAAACAATGGGAGTGAACCTAAAACATGCTGCATTCATCACTCAGACTGTAATCAGTTAGCCACTCAGCACAATGGGATATTCTTTAAACAGGAATCTTGTACATGATAATAAAACTACATCTGGTAAATAGTCTCAGTATGATTTCATTAGCATAACAATGAATCATATAAAAATTACAGATTAGAATTCTCAACTTCTCTTAAGGAGTCTCTTCCAAACCTTCACAAAAATATATATTGCGAACTGCAAACTTCTGGCTCATCTCCAAGGGAAAAAATCCAGCAACAGCTGGATCTCAGTTATTGTGAATAAGGACAAAGATGGGAAGTTTCAGTACTACCCACAATGGAGGAATAGTTGGTAAAGATGATGGAGCTTGCTGAGATAGCTAAATAGACTTATTTGACCAAAAAAAAAGATAATATCTCCGCATTTACTGCTGACTGGAAGCTCCTTATGAACTTTCTCCATCCAATAGACAAAATGAACTTTGCAATAGTGGCAAATGAGCTTATAATGTATGGTTTTGATGATCAGCCAGGATAGATTATAAAAAGAAGAGAGTTATGCTGCAACCGTAGAGTAAGAGGTAAATTTATCATTGTACTTAAATGTGTTCCGTTCCAAAGAATTATTAAGTTTCAAGTATCGGGGCCTTCTGAGCCTTGTAATATCACAGAATTCAGAAGGAATTGTATCAGACCCAGCATTCTATTGAGGGAAGTTAGCCCAGAGAAGGAAATATTAAAAAGACAGAAAAATATATTTTTCCTCAAAAGGATTTTTTAAAACCAAACCTGGCCCCAAATCTATCTCTCTGCTCCAAGCAAGAGCTAGCCCCATACAAATGCAGATGTAAAACCATCAGAGAATTGAAGCCAGAGCAATCAAGAAGACAAAGAGAAAATCTGCATACCCCACCCAAACTCTAGGAGTCATTAGCCCTATCACCTGGGAAGCAGGATATGATAATAGGATTAAACCACAGATATCAAGGCCTAGAAAAACACTCAGAAATAGCCTCAAGGTTCATGCCACAGGAACAGGAAACTATTCCAAGCAAGGCTAGAGGGGGTATAAAAACCTACTGCCCATGTGCTCAACTCCTTTTTTTCCTGTCCTCTGCTCTTTCTTGCAAGGACCATCTTTTTGCTTCTTCAATAAATTGTAACCTTCTTCCCAAAGCAGTTGCCATGTTGCTTATTTATCCCCGGCTTGGATGAACCAGGATGAAGACTTACTTCTGACACTCTATTCCACACTTTCATAGGCTGAAGACAAATATACATGAATTTTCATATTATAACCTAGGCAGCTTCCCTAAATTTATATAGCTATGCCAATGTATGTACAAGTAGTACTCGACTTACAACAATTCATTTAGTGACCATTCAAAGTTACAACAGTACTGAAAAATTGTGACTTATAACCAGTGGTGGGATTCAAATATGTGAACAAGCGGTTCTCTGCGTGGATGCCACTTCTAGAAGTCCATTCTGGGCCTGGGGAACAAAAAATTAGCTACCAGTTCTGCCAAAGTGGTGCGAACTGGCTGAATCCCACCACTGCTTATGACCGTTTTTCACAGTTATGACCTTTGCAGCTTCATGTGATCAAAATTCACATGCTTGGCAACTAGTTCATATTTATGACAATTGCAGTGTCCCAATATCATGTGATCCCCTTCTGCGACCTTCTCCCAAGCAAAGTCAATGGGGAACCAGAGTCACTTAACAACCAGATGACAAGCTTATCCACTGCAGTGATTCATTTAACAATTGTGGCAAGAAAAAGAGTAAAATGGGGCAAAACTCACTTAACAAATGTCTCACTTAACAACAGAGATTTGGGGCTCAGGTATGGTTAAAAGCTGAGGACTACCTGTACTTAGAGCAAGGCATATATAAGCAGCTGGAAAAACACTGTGTACGAAGTCTTCAAGTCTCTTAAAAGAATTAGCATTTATTCACCATCTTACTAAGAGCTAAAATAAATAATTTTCTCATCACGCTTTTCTCAGTGTAGTAAAATGTGAAGCTACAAGGCCCATCAGATTTTATAGAAAACAATAAATTTTCTACCTGGTGGTAGTACAGAGTATAATCTAGCACTCAATATGTAAACAATGTTCTGACACTCAGTTCATTGATTGTCCTTTGCGCAAATCAAAATTATTGCTACCAGATGCACGTTCAAGGGTTTTACACTAGCAAAGCTATGCAAAAAGCTATGTAAAAATGAAGCCACATCTTTTCTGCAGTTTAAAAGAACCGATAATGTGCTGCAGTTTAAGAACGGGCCTTTCTTCACTCTCTATAAATCATGTGACTTTAACTAATGTGCTGCAATATACAGGCACACCAGGAAACTAAAGAATGAATTGTTAGCATTAAGTGAAATGACTTGTTTTCTTGGCGGAGATGCAAATGCTTTAGGTTCATATTTCTGGTATTATGTCTACACATTTTTCTTAAGGAAAGTTGCCAGAAATCTAAGTGCTCAATTTACTCCTTTAAAAACCCACTAATATTATTAAAAGCTTTTATGTTTATCTCATAAAAACAATAATGTGACATAGCTGTTGCTCTTTTTTTATTTTTGGCAAATGTATTACTTTTCAAACTTTGGAAAGAATGTCCTCATAAGACATTCGATCAGGGACTTTCAACCTCATTTTCCATTGCGGCACTGAACTATAATTTTATACACGCTAATTTGGAAGAACATACATTCATTATGTTTGTACATCTCTCTCTCTCTCTCTCTCTCTCTCTCCTTCTCCTCTTCCCCCCAACCAATGGAATATCCTGGAATGATCTATTCACCAGGGTCATGCCAATGTTCTGACGTGACCTGGCAGGTTTCTGGAAGTCAATCTTCTACAGTAGAAGAGGAGATGATCCATGGTGTTCTAGACATGATCTGGCTGGGTCCTCTCTGGAATCGTTTCAAATTTTGAAAGATTTATGTCTGAAAAATGTCCATGCCGTCCCCTGGATCGGCACGGTCTGGAGGATTAACAGAACCTCTCACAATTCCCCAGAATGTTCTCTTTCTAAAGATGCAATGCTTTGCGCATACTAATATCCATCCCACTCATTTACTGGCAATTAAAATTTATCTGCTAATAAATTATTCATCATAGCTGAAACCAACAAGCTATTTTGTAGGAATAGTCAAGTTACACAACACACCCTGGTCTGACTTCAGCTGAAGGAAAGCACCAAGGAGGGAATATCTCTGGGAATATCATACCTGAACCAGTTGGAAAGAGGTTTACTGTACTCGTATATCAATGGCTTTGAGAAAGCAATCAGAGAAATATTAGACATCTCTCTGCAGTGCAAGAAATTGTCCTGTAGCCCTAATTTTTTTAAAAAAAATGTGCTTCCAATTCTCAAAGCTTTTCTCTAAGCTTTTCTAAAGTTAAGTGAGGAAAATAACAGTATTAGCAGACTATCCTCATCAAAGATATCCAAAGAATTGTCAAGTTCTTACCACAAGGGCATATGCAGCAGACACAATTTTTGAGAGCATGCTAGAGGCACTAACAAAAACTGGCTAGCCTAGCAAGAGTTCCATTATTTCTAAATGGTGTGACTGGCTGGTCACAAATTATCCGTGTATCAAAAGGAAAACATGTACGTCTGCTCTCTATTCTCTTTCCTGTCCCCTAAGATGCTTTCCACAACCATAACTTCCCTTTGTGTTTTATTCCAGGAACATGGACACACTGCTAAAGAGATCAGAGGCACTGTCTAAATCAGTGGTTCTCAACCTGTGGGTCGGGACCCCATTTGGGGTCGAATGACCATTTCACAGGGGTCGCCAAACAAGGCTGTCCACCATTTTTTCCCCTTTTCTTTGGCCACGCCCCTGGTACCCGGTGATGTATAAGTGGTTGGGGGTCCCCACAACATGGGGAACTGTATTATGGGGTCACGGCATTAGAAAGGTTGAGAACCACTGGTCTAAATAAAATTACCGCTTAGTTTAATATTTTGCCATTATGTTTTTTTAAATTAAAGGATTTACTTGAAAAATTAAACAGGTAGCATCTCAGATTAAGCAGAGAGTGCCATGGGCATTACATGAGGTGTCTGCAGGTACGCTAACAAGACTTTGCGGGTCCTTAATCTTGGTCAAAGCAATGGCACTGAACAAGTGGCAAAAGTTTGGTAATTTTAAAATATGCAATATAATTACACTTGCTATATTGATATATTTCTTTCTTTCATTATGGAATTTTAAAAAAAAACAGGACTCAGAGCTTCTCTTCAGCATTGTTTCAGCACATTGGTTTTCAAGGAAAATGCCAGATGTTTCAACTTAATGTTCAGAGCTAAAGGTAGTCCTCTCCTGGTGCTCTGGAGTTTTTGGCAGTTCCAAAAACTGGTCATGGAGAAGAGAAAGAGAACAGCTTAGGTCAACAGACAGTGATGGAATTCACTCTAATAAACTTATTATGTACAGATTTTGTACTTCAGAAAGGAAAATAAATGATCCCAGCTGGAGATAATCTCTTTTGATAGCTTATTAAGGATTCTAAGGATATTCCGATTTAATATTCAAAGGCACATCATCCTAATAAAGCCTGAAGTATCTCTGACTGTAGTCACTGTTGTTTTATTATGAAAGACTCTCTGGGCTTTTTAAATCATAAGATTCTCCAAGATCTTTATTAACACCTAAAGCATTGGAGATTGAAGCATTCTGTGTATGTATGACAATGTTCCTAAGAGCAGAAATCTGACCTCAGCAATGATGAGTGAAGCAGATTATAATTATAACGCAAAGGAGGTTTGTCTATAGCAGGGGTGTCAAACTGCCGGCCCACGGGCTGGTTTCATATACTGAAGCCGCATCCACCCCATTACTGTCAATGCAAAAAGAGTCATGATACGTCGGGACAGGTCACATGACGTGGCTAGTTTGACACCCATGGTCTACAGGAAATAACTTAAACAAGTACTAGTTAACCACACCTTAGCAGGAGTTGTCCAAAAACAACATGCCCCATGTATGTTTCAGATGAAGATAGAAGGAAGTGAGCTTAGGTTAGCAGTTTCTTAGACAGGAGGCTAATAGAGTGACAGACTAATAGGGGCACTTCTAAATTTACACTATGT